CAACAACAGCAGCAACAACAGCAGCAGCAACAACAGCAACAGCAGCGGCAACAGCAGCAGCAACAACAGCAGCAGCCATTAACACAGAAATTAACACAGAAATGCAAACATTATGTTTATTTTTGATTGTATTACCTTGGACAAGCTGTCTGGCTTGAAGGCCAGTTTCTTGATACTTGCAGCTTCAATGGCAGCTGTCGTAGCAGAATCATCGGCGAAGTTGCCTTTACCAGCTTTCTGTCTGTGTAATAATGGGTCATTCTCCCAGTCCAACACAAATGGACTCTACGACAAAACAAGACTCGTTTTGTGAGAAAGAGAACATAGTGCATCGTGGTCTAACTTGGGTAAAAAATATTTTATCATGTCTTAAATGGTGTCGTTTGTAYCTAAGCTGGATAGACCATTCCTGAGATAGAGAACATGGTGCATTCTGGTCTAGCTTGGGTACAAACATTTTTAATATCACGTCTTATATGGTGCTGTTTGAACTCAAGCTGAATAGACCTTTCCTGAGATAGAGAACATGGTGCATTCTGATCTACCTTGGGTACAACCATCTTTTATTTCTTGTTGTTTGTACCCAAGCTGAGTAGACCTTTTCTGAGATAGAGAACATGATGCATTCTGGTCTAACTTAGGTACCAGACTGCATTCCTGTCCATTTAACGCAGAAAAGGACTACGTGAACGACTTATTCACAAGTTTCCACACGATCTTACAAAAGTTGATCAACCATAAAAAGTACTGGCTACTTCAGACTGGTCAGTGCTTTAAGGTATCTGGGTTGTCTCAGTTGCTAATGTATACCTTAACAATCTTGCATATCAGGACATCGTATCGTTGGTGCTGAATCTTATGCTTCATCAAGACCTGGATGAAACAAAGAATTAACTTGTTCAATAAAAAAAAGAGACAAGTAGAGTCGACAATGATTGGTTAAATTAGGCACCACGTGCCGTGACATGAATGTGAAAGTGCTGTATCCAATCACGTTTGTTAGATGAGCAGTGATGTCACGCGCTGTGATTGGTTTAACAAACGTTGTCATCTTCGTACCGTTACTGTGTTGTCTTTTATAAAAAACTTCCCATCCTCTCCTCACCAGACCCTCTCTCTCCTCTCCACCCCACCCCACCCCACCCCAAAGAGTCTCGCCTTGTTTAAAGTTTGGAAGACCAGTGAAGACAAGGTATTCATGGCTGTTACAAGCTCCTCCCGTTCTCTCACCCACCCCCCCCCCCTCACCCATACATACCCCTCTCTCTCCCCCCCCTACCCCCATGAGTTTCACCCACCCCGCCCCCTCACCCATACATACCCCTCTCTTTCCCCACCACACCTCCAAGAGTCTCACCTTGTTTACTGTAGGAATAAAAGTGGAATATCTCTTGCCCAGTTGGAAGACCAGTGAAGACAAAGTGTCCATGGCTGTCGTTCTCAGCTCAGGACAATTGTCTAGGGTTCTTACTATAGGGTGTATGATCCTAGAGGCAAAGTCTGTCAGGTCTAGAGACTCACTCAGACGATCTAGGGTATCGAGCGCACATCTGTCAAAATATTTAGATTAATATAGTCATATTTAGGATATTAATGTTTAAATGTGTTAACTATGATGACGATGATGATGATGATGATGATAAAAATCATGGTGATAGGTGATGGAGGATCATGTCGATGATGAATGGCGGTGTGATGGTAGTGTTGATGATGGTAATGATGATGATGATGATGATGATGGTGAACATGCTAATGATGGTGATGATGATGATGGTGAACATGATAATGATGGTGATGATGATGATGGTGAAGATGATGATGATGATGGTGAAGATGATAATGATGATGGTGGTGATTATAATGATGGTGAAGATGATAATGATGATAATGATGATGATGATGATGATAATGACGGCGGTGATGGTGATGATCATCATGTTACTGGTACTTACTTTCTAACATTCAGTGGTATGTCATGAGAGTCAAAGAGTCGTACAACAGGAGGTACAAGAAGATGAAGGTAATCATCCAGACTTGAACCAAACATCTGAAGGGCATTCAACAGCTAACAAGAGACAATGAAGCAAACAACGTCTTAGTAAAGCATTCTGGGTTGATCTAAGTCAGGGCACGTCGTCTTACCTTGGTAGTGACACTCCTTTGCACACTGTTGTCATGCATAAAGACCTTCAGAATCTGTGGTATAATCTGAGGCAAGTAGTTCTACAGATAAACAACGATAAATATATTGAAATATTAAGATCATCGTTCATTCAAAAAAAAAGTCCAAGCTCAGTAGGATTCAAACCACTGACATCCTTTGTCTACCTTGAATTCTCCGCCCAATGCGATGGCAATCTGTTCCACCAGAAGAACGATTGTAGTCTGCATTTGACTGTTTATTGTCCAGTATTCCTTAATAGAAAGAACATAGGCATAGCTTAAAGAAGTGTGCCTTGTTCAGTTGGAGAGTGTGTTACCAGTAAGGAAAGTGTTTGGTATAATTACCTTAATGAGAGCAAAGATATCATCCAGATAATTACGAATGTGTTGCTTGACAATGGAGATGAGGTTTCCAAGTTGCTGAAACACAAACTGAAAAAAAAAGAAAGGAGAATCCAATTACTAAGAATAGTCAGATAATGGGAAAAAGAAAATAATATGAGAAACCTTTTTGCTCCTAAATTCCTTTGCAATACAGTCCAAATTACCGTAAGTTACTCATATCATAGTTTGTTAACTTTCTTACTTCAAAAAGCAACGTTAATAAAAATAACAACGTTAAAAGAAAATAATATGAGAAACCTTTTTTGTTTCTAACTTCCTTTGTAGTGCAGTCCAGATTACCGAAAGTTACTCATACAATAGTTTGTGATCTTTTTTATTTCAAAAAAGCAACGTTAACGATTGAATGCTAGGAAATAGATCTCTTTGAGCTTGGACATAATATTTATCAATTTTAGACCACGTGCCATTCTTGAAAATAAGATTCTTCGTTCGCGTTTTATCCATATATTTTATATTTTCTCGTGCGCAACCATGAAACAAAGAAATGATGGTCAAGGCCTGGTCGTACGCAGCCTGGATAGCGCTATCCGGCAGATAAATCCTTATCCAGTGGATAAGTCGATGATGTCATCCAATAAAATTTATCCACTGGATAAGATTAAACCATTGCATAGTGTTGTCCAGGCTTCGTACAACCAAGCCCAGGGAACGCTACATGGTCTGAAATGGGAAACCATTATGACCAAGGTAAAGAGGTATATGGATAAAGTTTGTGTGACTAACCTCTCTAAATCCAAAGTCGCATGTTCTGATTACATTCAAATACGAGGGCATGATCTAAAAAATTGGAAAGAATGGAATTATTAAAAAGAATATAACACACATAGTACCAATATTTTATTGGGAAATGCAATGAATGGGAAAGAAAGAATGGGAAAAGAAAATTGAAACATTAATATTACCAAAAAATGATGTAGAAATGGGAAATGGGATGTAAATGCAAACAAAATTAGAAAATAAGTAATTAGAAATGAGAAGTGGATGGGAAAGAGGAAGTAAATGGAAGACAAATAATTGGAACATTATTATGGAGAGGGATTTGAATCAAAATTATATCTTACTTGTGAAAGATACGACACACACTTCATGCCGAGAGTCTTGAAAATGAATGTCACAGCCTGGAAAATGTTTAAAGAAATACATTAGCATTTTGATAATCAATTTTTTTCCAAACCAGACCTACTTGGGAATTTACCAGGAAGACCAGATCATACCTGGATGACCATGGTGTGGTGTCCAGATAATGATGGGTCTCGTACAATCCTCATCAATGCAGCTATCACGACAGCAGGGTAGAACTCGTCCAGTTGAACACTACCCATTGTGACCAACATCTCACTGGTGCTTGTGTCTTGATCAGAAACAAGAAGAAATTGCAGAATTATGACTAAAGAGAAACAACCTCTGGGCTGTTCTACAAAACAGGGCATGGCTTACTCACAGATCAAACCCTGAAAAAACTCTGGGTTGATTTAATTCATGTGTTAAGATAATCTCACATGGATCATATTGGAATCTACAATTTCATTCCTACCTATCTCACTGTCTTTGCCAGTAGTTGTGTTGCCACTATCATCCTGAGCACCAAGACTTTGATTCAACTTGTGTTTGTATGGATCTAATGCACCAAGAAGACCCAATACTCTGATAGCCTGGTAGAAAATATTAATGTACTTTAGGATGACGAAATATAGAAGATGCTACTAATGAAAACTTATAGGGGAGAGTGGGCCACAGGTTCATCAGTCGTAAAACTGTTGTGTTACACTCATTAAACAATGTTTAAAGTATTAACAATATCATCATCATCATCATCATCATTGTTCCTAATCAACCTCATCATCATCATCAGTCATCATCAACCTCATCAGCATCATCATCATTAATCATTAACATCATCATCATCATCATCACCACCATCATCAGTCATTGATCAACCTCATTGGCATCATCATCATTAATCATCAACATCATCAGCATTATCATCATCAACATCATCATCATCAACATCATCATCATCAACATCATCATCATCAACATCATCATTATCATCAGTCATCATCAACCTCATCATCATTAATCATCAACATCATCAGCGCTATCATCATCATCATCATCATCATCATTCATCAACATCATTATTGTTAATATTACAGTGTGCAAAATAACCAAGAAAGTGAAAGTCACAAGTAAAATCAAGCAATGAGCACACTTAAATAAAAACCCAAAGATATCCAAGGGTGCTTTCCATTAATTTGCAGCAATCAGTCTGACCAGCCAGATCCGAAATGGTACTTGTCAGTTCTTAAAACTACATGTAGTTTGGGCCACGTTGTTACAGTTCTACAAAAATTGATGCATACAATTTTAGAACTGGCCATTCAGACCAATCAGTCTGACTTGATGGAAAGAACTCTAAGATTCTGATAGCTTGACCAAAAATCTGTAAGTAGTTTTAAGAATCAGTAAGAAGACATGGAAATTTAATCTGGTAGAGAAGTATGGTATTAAATATTAGTACCTCTCGCCTGATTCTTGGAGCCTGTTCAGTCTTGAGGAAGTTTAAAAGAACTTCAAGTAAGTTAGGATACTTTCTGTATGGCTCCACAACATAACTGAAAGAAATGAATAGATTAATGTTAATGGTATTATCATAGTGTCGTACATATATATCTCAGATATTTTATTTTTTTAGCTTTAGAATTTATTTCCTTCTTTTTTGAGAAAACAATGTTTGGATTTAAGAAATGGTCTTGGGAAGCATAACAAGAGATGGGATGAATAAGTGGGAAAATATAATGAATGAATGAATGAATGATTGGATAAAAGGGATGGGATGGAATAAAAGTAAACAAAGATACAGATCTTGGGCTAGGAAAAGCCTAACATAACATAGACACACACATAAACCAAAAAGATGACTAAATGAATGGATGGATGGACGGGAGTTATGGAATGTAATTTAATGAACGAATAGAAAAAGAAATAGATAAGAATAAATACAAAGGACAAGTTCTTACCCTGTACTTCCAATCAACTGACCAAGTGTCCAAAGTGCAATCTGAAAGAATAATTATTTTACCACTGCTATGAATTTTTTCAAAATATGTACTTAATGCAATTTTCATAATTATGCGAATTCTGAGTTGCACGCTGAAATTTGGTTTTTCACTCTCGGCAGTCAAAAATATGAAAGGTACAACTGATTAGTTTTGATTAACGGCAGTGAAAAACCAAATTTCAGTGTGCAGCTCGCAGACACAGCTAGAGTTTGCATGTTTATGAAAATTGCAGTATTAAGCAAATTTTCTAAAACTCTCCAAATTGAAATGTGGCCACCCCTTGAATAACAATAATAATAAATACTAATAAATAATAACTATTAAATAATAAATAACTATTTTTCTGCACTGACTAGCAACTGACTAGGTTCTCATACATGTGAAAACGCTTTTACGCTTCCATGTGAACATGAGGCTAGTCAGTCACTAGTCATGCCACACAACATTTATTTATTCAAAGTGGTCACAATATTTCGATTCAGTGTATACAGCCGAGTCCAATTATAGGAATGTTTGTTCTGCACTGACTAGCGACTGACAAGCCCTCTCATACATGTGAAAACACTTCATATTTCAATGTAAACTTGATGCTAGTCAATTACTAAACATGCCGCACAACATTTATTTATTCAAAGTGGTCACAATACAGGGATACAGGAGACAGGGATCATGCAGATAGAAAATCCCCCCAGTAAGAACCATTAATGAGTATTTGAATTTTGATTCCCTACCTCTCGTTTTGGGTATGAAGAGGCATCCTGCAGCATGTCGATGAGGATAGGACACAATTCATTCATACGTTTACCAGTCTCTGCACCACAGACCTTAGAACAGGACAGAATAAATATTAATAATAATAATAATAATAATTATTATTATTATTTATAAAGCGCTAATACAAAACTGTTCAAAGTGCTAGTAAAAAGGATTACAAACAACAAAAAAACAACAAAATAAAATAATTTACAAAGAATAAGCTAATTTGAAGACATAAGTTTTAAGTTCAGTTTTGAATGCGGCCAGACCACTCTTAGCATTCTTTTCATTGCTACAAGCTGATTGAGACAACAGTCGCGATATGGAAGTTGGGCAATACACTTCTGTCAATCAAATAATTGGTGGGTACCTTTATATTTTCTGATTGGCAGCAATGTATTGCCCTGTTTCCCTGTTGTGACTGTTGTATTGATCAGGGAAAAGCAGTGCAAAGTGTATATGTTGTGATCTTTTGCTTATCACATTCATATTGCCCATAGTACAATTTTGGTATGTATCCAACATGTAACATACAATGATATATGCAACAAAACCTTAGCAACCTTATTTGAAATAGCTGCATATTAAGAGTTGGAGTTTTAGCTGTAAGATAGCTCTTCTAGCCACAGCAGGCTAGTATTAAGCAATATATATTATGTCTATGTACCATACTACTACTTACCTGCGCATGCTCTCCGATAGCAGCTGTAACACTGATCACTACCTCAGGATCAGGGTCACGCAACTTAGGGATCAAAGCCTGCAACATGTATAGCAACAAACAAAACTGTGAGACATGATCTAGGATTATTAATTCAATAAATAATAATAATAAAGACAACCAAAGCTCCAGTAAAGGGGGATTACAGCACTGTAGGTTCTATATAGGGCCTCATTAGCATAGGTACATGTTACAGGTTACATTAAGGGCCTTATTAGCATGTGTATATTAATTATTTTCATACAATGTCTTAAGTGCAGGACATCACACAGACCTTCAATATAGGTTCCATATAGGGCCTTATTAGCATATGGGCGTATTAAAGACGATATTTTACATGTAGTACAGGGCATCAGACAGACCTTCAATATAGGTTCCATATAGGGCCTTATCAGCATGGGTGCATTAGAGACCAAGTGGCCCAACATTCTTGCGCTCTGTTCCTTGTTACGAGCAACTCCGCTGTACTCCAGCTCAGTCAAGATCTGAAATGTAGAGAAAACACTTAATGTGGTAACTCACAGATAGAATTGATAAGTGTGTTGGCTTTACAGAGGGAGAAAAAACATAGAACCTGAAGAAAACCATCAAAAAAAGGGAGAGACCTAACAAACTCTACTCACATGTGATGCCAAGTCCAGGAGTTGGCCAAAGACTCCAGAGATGAGCTTACTTATGCTAGGTCACCCTTGACACCCAAATCAAGCACACCCAATGAATAGAGGCTTTGCAATATTAAGTGATGGCAGCCATGAATAGGGACACAACAATAGTCTTTTTTTCCCCCTAGAAACTGAATTCTGTCTCATGTAAATCAGATTAGACCAGATTCAATTGTTCCTGCCTCCTGTCATGGCTGCCATCATGTGATGTTGCAAAGCCTCAATAGTTTGGATGGGTTACCAATATGGTTGGGGCCCAGATGGTGAGGGGAAGTTGGGAAGGTTGCAAGATGACTTTAAACCATTTGGAAGCACATTTACCTGAATCAAAGTCTTCCTCAATGACGGCATGATATAGGCTGGGTTAAGACTGCTTAATCTTCCAATGATGATTATTGCAACTTCACGGATTTCGAATTCCTGCATTCAACAAGAATCACACAAGTTACACAAAGTACATGAAACAGTGTGATCAAGGACCTTGAGGGATCTTCCATCTCCTTTGAAGAATTTATAATGATTGCCAATGACAGAAAAAAGTGGTCAAAGCTTGTAAAGGTGTTAATATATGTGGCATCTAGCCATGACAGCAAAAGAAGATGAAGAATATTTAAAAATTCAAAGCTGTCTAATTATAATCCATACCTCATCATTAAGAGCTACGAACAGAGCTGCCAAACTTTCTGCCTGTGCAAGATGTGCATCAAACCTTTCATCCAAAGAAATGAGTACACAGTATCGGATGTCTGGGTCTGTCAATATTACATATAAAAGTTATAAATTAAGTCTACCTATAACCCTTGCTTTTTGAGGGTAGTGCTTATGACATTTTGAACAAATCTTTGGCCTTGGTAGCATCGATGAGAATCAGCACATTTGCAGCTCACACCACCAATGCTTACCACAAGCACAGAGAAAAACATTTGAATTAATGCCTAGCAAATTCTACTCACATGTGATGCCAAGTCCAGTAACCAAACCACAGACCCTAGAGGTGAGAGGCGAGTGTACCACCACTACACCACCCTTGGTTCACTAATGTATGCGATGTTGAGTCCAGGAATCAAACCTGAGACCCCAGAGGTGAGAGGTGAGTGCACTACCACTACACCACCCTTGGTTCACTAATGTATGCGATGTTGAGTCCAGGAATCAAACCTGAGACCCTAGGGGTGAGAGGTGAGTGCACTACCACTTACGCCTACCTTGATTCCCACAACCAATCAATTGGAAATTGATAAGTGGGTTTTACATTTTTAAGGGAATATTTGACTTACCAGGATCTGTGATGCCGACCATCAACATTTTGTTCAGCACTTCAGATACAACATGTGTAGAAGTGGCACTTATTGGGCCGTGCTGTAAAGTCTGGTTGGCAGATACCATTGGCTGATTGATAAAAACAAAATATGTAATTATATCAATTATATTAAATTATAAATTATATAAATTATATAAATTATATCAATTATATTAATTATATTAATTATATTAATTATATCAATTATATTAATTATATCAATTATATTAATTATATTAATATGTTAATATCTCCTTCTCCCACTCCCACTCCCACTCCCACTCCCTCTCCTTCTCCCTCTCCCTCTTGCTCTTATTTTCATTCTTGTTCTCGTTCTTGTTCTCCTTTTTGTTCAGCTGCCTTTTACAACACAAATAGCTGTCCTGATAGAAGCAACTTACATGGGTGGTTGGAGAGAGAAGTCTGGAACAAGTCCTAACAGCTTCCATTCTGATGTCCTTATGTTCACTTCCAAGGAATGTGTCAGCACACTGTCGTACAAGATGGGCATGTGTGCGCAATGAATCTGCATGTGGTATAACAGAGGAATATGTAAGAAATCTTGAAAAAATAACATTGCCATGCTTGTAATTATTCACCAATGATTTTCCATACATTGGTTCACTGGTCAAATGTTAACACAAAGCGCTCAAACAAGGCATTGAAATTTCAACCTTGCAACCTCGACTGAATGCTTTTTGTTTGAACAGTGAACCGATGTATGGAAAATGGTGAATAACTGGGATCGCTATCACCATGGAAACCCTAAGTACTTCCATTGAAATGAAGGTATACATAGTATGGTCTTCCTGCTAGTTATAAATTTCATTTGGGTGCCCTATAGCACCAGAATCACCTTAACTTCATTTCAATGGCCTCTAAAACTTCGAACCCTCAAAGCCCTCGAACACAGGAGAGTTCTAACCAACAAACAATTCAACTAACATACACCAAGCTCGTAGGGACTTGAACCCGGGTCGCATTGGTGAGAGGCGAGCACTCTCACCACTACGCTACCTATGCTTCCCTTAAGATAGTGAAAAGATGGAGAAAGGATAGCTGTAGTAAATTACCATCAAAATCAAATGATCCTAATGTCCTCAATGCAAGCACTGTGCTTTGGTTCTCAGCAGTATCAAACAACGAATGTGAAGATGCTGTTGAAAAATACAGACAAAAATAATATAAGAGACCTACTCCAATGTTTTCCTATTTCAGACCATGGCGGCGAAAATGAGAGAGACTGTGGAAGAGTATTTTGGTCTCCAAACCACGCCGGCTCCAAATTTTTTGGGACCCATAAGTCCTTTCGGTCATTGTACCGTTACAGTCTCTAAGCATGGAGACGGAAAGGACGAGCGAGACTGTGGAAGAGTCTAGACTATTATGACCTACCTGAGGGAGTAAGAGTAGGGGTGCTACTCTTAGGTGCACCAGGGTGTCGCAGTGACTTATGCATGAGTATCTGTGACAACATCTTTAGTAGACCATCTATGAAAAACAAAATCCAGATTATTAGCTTCTATGATGGCTTTATAAAAAGGCAAGCTACCGCTATGTTTCTTCAGATTACAGACTCATTACTCAGGCTTAGCCTGGTATAAGTGTCTAAATATTCTATATCTTCTCATCACTTCTTTCATATTGGAAGAAAATAATGCTGATTTTGTGAAAGAAGGACTGAGGTCCTAGAGCTTCTACAAAACAAAAAGCAGGTCTATTTGAAATATCTAGGGAGTCTTTATACCTTGGATGCTTCTCTTGAGTTGGGGTACTTGATTAGCCAAGTCATGAAGGCAGGCGGTTAAAGCAGGGCTGCAAAATACAAAATATATTCCTATATTAAAATAAAAGATTGTAATCCATATTATGTCAGTATAGGTATGGCTGAGGTCTAGGTGTGGTAGGGAGGATTAAGGAATGCACAGCACTCACGGCATGACACAATATACAACATAGCATAAAACTGCATGGCTCCACACGGCACAACATGGCACAGCACAGCACAGCACAGCACAGCACAGCACAGCACAGCACAGCACAGCTCAGCACAGCACANGCACAGCACAGCACAGCACAGCACAGCACAGCACAGCACAGCACAGCACAGCACAACGAAGCTTTTGGGATACAACACAACACAGAACAGAAGAGCACAACACAGAAGAGCAAGCACAATGTAGCATGGCATAACACTGCATAGCGCAGTTGCACACAGCACAACATGGCACAGCACAGCATAGCACAGTACAGATAAACACTTATACATGTAGATAAGATAGTATGATACGATGCAGCCCAGCACAGCACAGTACAGTATATGAAATAGCAAAGGTAGCATTAGGCATCGCTTTAACAAGAGATGGCAGGCATATATATATCAGTGGTAATCTTATGCTTTACCTCAGTCCTACAGACAGCATGGGTTCCAGGAGGTCCTTGATATCTTTAGAAATCTTTGGACCAATTGCACGAGACATGTATGCAACACATGCAAACACCATTGGGTCCACAGTTACAGTTTTCTGCCGCCTGAAAAGAAAACAATAACAGCATCATATTATTAAGTGGGTGACCCAAAACGTTGGGTGTCCACATTGAGTGGGTGTCTAAATTGTTTGGGTGCACATTGCCAGAGGGTGTGTGAATAGAATGGGTTTCCAAATTAGTGAGAGTGCATGCACATTTTGTGTGTGTCCATAGGAGGGTGTCCAAAAAAGGGTGTGCATCTATAGAGTAGATGTCCAAAATAGTGGGATATGCACATTGGTAGTGGAGTGTCCACATTAAGTGGTGTCCATATAAGCTGGGTGTCCAAATTACGTGGGTTTCCAAATTAGTGGGATGTGCCTGCACATCTATCTATAGGAGCAGGGTGTCCAAACAAGTGGGTGTCCAAATAAGTGGGTGTCCATATTAGCTGGGTGTCCAAACAGGTGGGTGTATTATAACTGAGTAGCAACTATGTTTATTACTTTATCTTGACTAATAACCAATGAATAAAAGCCTGACATACTTGTGTCCAAGGTCCTTGATGGGTAGGGAAGCTTTCACCAGGTCTAATATGTTTTTGCAGTGTTTTTCGATGTTCTGTTTTACTGCTATAGCAACCAGACCAACAGCTTTGAAGGCCGAAGATCTTTCTCTCTCCTGGAAGAAAAAACACTTGGTTGATGTTTTATCTTTCTTAGTCTGTCATTCTGTCTGTCTGTCTAACAGTTATCGTAGATTGATAAGTTTTACACCGTAAGCTTATAATTAAGTTATTTCCCACCTATTGTTGCTTTCGATCCTTTTGTTTTCCTTTGTTTTATGGCTTGCTTTTTTCTTATTGGTTTGTTTTCTCTCTCCTCTACTATATAAACATCTCTCTCGTTCTTACTTTCTATTGACTCCAACGAAGGACTAAAATCCGAAACGTCAGTTCCTATTTTCACTACGGTGTAAAACTTATCAATCTACGATAACTGTTTCATTAGAAACACCGACGCAGTCCACGCTAGTGTTTACTAGCCATCATCTACATGTCTGTCTGTCTGTCTGTCTGTCTGTCTGTCTGTCTTTCTTTCTTTAAAAACTTATATTTTACAACCACCACTCGCCATGCGGGGCTCTTCCATGAGGTTCCCTCCACATGCACTACCACTACCTTCTATATTTACAACATACAACACTCAACTCACATGTTGCTTTTTATGGAGGGAGGAACCGGAGATCCAGGAGAAAACCCTCGTGTCAAGGGAGAGAACAACACAACAAACAAACTCAACTCACATATGATCCAGTCTGAACAAGGGCTCGAACCCGGACCACAGTGGTGAGAGGCGAGCGGTAAACCACTACACCACCCATACTACCCCCTCTTTCTCAACTGTTGGTTTGGTGTGTATGTCTGCATACAAGAAATGACTACATGACTTGTACAACTAAGGTGTGGTATCATGGTGGTTGTGAGGAATATTTACCCTCTTCAAAGCTGCAATCAAGTAGGAAATCACATCCTTGTGTAAGTATCTACATGAAATAGTAAAAAGTTTATTATGAAATAGTAAAAAGTCAATAGTAATAAATATGAAGATTGTGATGATGATGATGACAGTGGTGAGGGTAGTGATGATGGTGAAGAAGAAGAACATGATGATGATGGTGGTAGTGGTGGTGATGGTGATGATAATGGTGACAGTGGTGATGGTATTGATGGTAGTGGGTTGTGATGCTAATGAAGAAGAAAAGATGATGACAATGATAATGGGGTAGTGGTGTTGATTGAGACGATGTTGATGTCGATGATGGTGGTGATGATAATGGTGATAATAATGGTGATGATGATGATGGTGGTGGTCAAGAAGTAAATGACGATGATGGTGGTGATGATGATGATGGTGATGATGATGATGGTGAAGATAATGATGGTGGTGATGATGATGATGGTGGTGATGATGATGATGGTGAAGATAATGATGGTGGTGATGATGATGATGATGGTGGTGATGATGATGGTGGTGATGATGATGATGGTGGTGGTGATGATGATGATGGTGGTGGTGATGGTGGTGATGATGACGATGGTGGTGGTGATGATGATGGTGGTGGTGATGATGGTGGTGATGATGATGATGGTGGTGGTGGTGGAAGTGGTTAAGTAAATGTGATAAAGAGGTGGAGGTAGTGCTAATTAACAAAAACTCCTGATGTGTAAGAAACAAAAGATATCACACTTACGTTTTAACAAATCTTTGAGGTTGGAAAGCAGCCAGTCTTGGGATGAGAGTAAGAAGAGTCTGTTGGATAGCACTGTTTCTGACTCCACGATACTTCAGAATGAGAGAACATACCTGACAAAGAAGGATTCAATATTCCAATATTATGATATTCCATACCATGAGAGAATAAAATAAAGCAAAACATTTTCAACAAATTGGACATCAAATCCAGTCATAAAGAAAAAGTAAGAAAAATAGATCTTTATAGAATTGCTTTTTGATTTGGACCAAGAAGAAATATCCATATTATTGAGGTCACACTTACACTATGCTGCCAAACATAAACAAGGTTTTACATGCTTTATTTATTATAAAACCAGCCAGCTTTGCATCAAAATGTGTCAGTTTAAAACCCCGCTTACACTGGCGATTTTTGCAGCGATTTTTGCTGCAATTTTTGTGACAATTTTAGGAAATATGAAATCTTTTGTCTCATCCTTCAATAGAGACATTCGTCTAGGAAAATCTTGGTATCTTGAAAAAAACTTTACCAATAAATTCTTTACCATTATATATTATGGACAGGATCGCAGCAAAAATCGCCGCAAAAATCACTAGTGTAAACGGGGCTTACCGCCACCCATTTAGCTCAGTTGGTAAGAGCGTTGGTCTGTTGTGCGGGAGGTCGTGGTTCAAGCCTCTGCCGGACCAATACTCAGGGTCTTAAAATAACTGAGGAGAATGTGCTGCCTTTGTAATTACATCTGCAAATGGTAAGACCTTCAAGTCTTCTCGGACAAGGACTTTAAACCGTAGGCCCTGTCTCCCAACCCTTCCTAACCAACAGTAAATGGGGGACATAAATGAACCTGTTGAGTAGGGGATTGTCTCCCGGTTCAACAGCCTATCCCAATCTGGAGGCATTAATACTAACATACTAACAAATCACTCATGATTGAGCTGCACAACTGCTACTAGCGCCTAAATACGAAGCCCGTAAAGTCCTCCACTGGTCATGATTGTGAAGTGCATTGAGACCATGTAAAATGCGCTATGTAAGAACCCCGTTATTATTATTATCATTATACGAAAGCTTGTGCATAGAAGTATGTGAATTACATTAAACTTATAATTTTGTGCACTGCATTGTAAAAGCTTCATTCCTTTTACCTCATCAAATTTATCCTCCATATATTCCTTGCACACTTTACTATGGCACATTGGATTTATCTCCCCCAAACCACTGCTAACGATAGTAGACATGGTAGAGCGTTGGTGTAGGAAGCCAGTCTGTTGTGCAAACTTGCTCTTAGGCGATGTGATGCCAAGGTCATTTAGACTGATTTGACTCTGTGTTTGGTCACAGTAGATGTCTTCTAAATTTTTCTTGAATTGCTGGTGATAAACAAAAAATATGGTCATTTAGATGATTTTACCTCGCCTTAAACATCATTTGATGATGATGGATATGACTGCACATGATGGGGATGATGATAAGATGGTGATGAGGGTGACCGATGATGATCACGGTCATGGTCATGATGGAGATGACTGCACATGATG